CCTGTAATAAAGACCGCTCACTGCTGCTCTCTTACCTTGTGCAGGGTGACTGGTCTTGTCTCCGCCCCCTCCTGTAATAAAGACCGCTCACTGCTGCTCTCTTACCTTGTGCAGGGTGACTGGTCTTGTCTCCGCCCCCCCTGTAATAAAGACCGCTCACTGCTGCTCTCTTACCTTGTGCAGGGTGACTGGTCTTGTCTCCGCCCCCTCCTGTAATAAAGACCGCTCACTGCTGCTCTCTTACCTTGTGCAGGGTGACTGGTCTTGTCTCCGCCCCCTCCTGTAATAAAGACCGCTCACTTCTGCTCTCTGTGATAGGTCAGCAGACACATACAGGGAGAGAGTCCCGGATAGGATTGTCTGTAGACTCCAACCTGTGCAAACCGGGATAATGAGGTTTATAGAACATACAATACGAAGCCTTCACCATGACATGTATCATCACACATTGGCTGACCGCCTCACGTTGGTTTGTTTTCATTTCACGGTCCATTAAAACAAAAATGTTTTGATCATACCAATAACACTTCCAGACTTGGTGACCTCTGACCCCTCCTCTCTTCTCCTGCAGCGCACTTCAGACGTTCCTGGCAGGCCGCACCTTGCGTGTTCCGGCCCACACTCCGTCACCTCCTTCCGCAGAGCTGTATGGCAAACATGGAGGAATTGGGGGAACGACTGAATGATTCCCGGATCCTGAGGTTACTGACCCTCCACAGCATTCTCCTCCTCAGACAGGAATACAGCGACTATGTACAAAGTGATGTCTATAACTGGTGAGAACGCGTTGCTCCCCCTGCTATGGGGGGTATTGTGTCCTCCTGCCATTGTATATTGGCCTCCAGGGGCCACTTTGGCTCTTTTCATCATCTTTCCCTCCTTTGCTCAGTGCTGGAGTCATTGAGATGACCTGGCCTGGTAAGGTCACATGTCTTCAATCCTGCTCCTACCACCGGTCTTCTGTGAAAGCAGCAGAGGGCTCACCAACCATCTCAGCATGTACTGTATATAGGAGGAGGCACTGAAACCTTTCACAGCTTGTTTCTGCCCCGTCTCTTGTCTCAGTGGGAGACAATAAATACACTTGTAGTCAGAGCCCCACTGATATGTACCTGAAAATGAAGACGATGACCCTACCTACAACATGACCTGAGGTGTGCCACGGTCACTATGGTCAATATGCAAATAAGGGGGCAAACTCAAGTAACTGTTATGAAAGGGGTAAGGGAGGGTGGGATGACTTGGACGTTCCGACGGGTGAGTGGGGGGAACGGCCGGGCTTTAAAGTGCGGGGCTCCTTCCACAAATCCGGCCAGTAACTGGCCTCAAACCTAAAGCCAAACGAACAAGGACACCTGACCTGCACCCTTCTATGACCTTGTTGGACATTCAATTCAAACATCATGGGCATTATAATGCAGTTGTCCCTTTGTGTGGATATAACATCCCTATCCTATCCCTATAACACCCCTCACCCTTCTGGGAAGACTTTCCACAGGAATATGAAGTATTGTTGTGGGAATTTGTGGCCATTCAGCCATGAAGAGCATTTCTTGGTCCTGTACCGATGTTAGCTGAGAAGACCGGGCCCACAAATGGCATCCCAATTCATCCCAAAGTTGTGCACAGTTATGCTGGAACAGTAAAGGGCCTTGTTGTCACAGGGTTGGAGGTGCACAATCTTTGTATGGTGTAGTATATACAGAACCCTTCACTGGAGACACCTGAACACAATCATGGCGAGGTCTTCACATAATTTTGGGCATACAGTGTATGTACTGCCCTGTACAGCTGGACTCCTGATGTGAGGTGCTCCAGTGTTACCCTTCTACAATTATCACAATATTATGGCGGAGAGGAAATGAGGTCACAGGACTGAGTGTGTCTCATTTTTAGGGGTTACGAGGAGCTGAGACTGGCGCTGCGTTGCGTGGAAGGCATGAGGAAGGACTCTATGGACTGGGCGGACACCATGTCTTATCTTACAGGTATATTTACTAAATTATTATTATTGACCATTTCTAATAATTTCTTGTTAAAGCTCATGTTAGGGTGACACCCCCTGGCAGGTGACACCCCCTGGCAGGTGACACGGGCTTCCCTGAGGGGTGGAGTCTAAGTACCAGCCGTGTTCACCAGAGCTCCTGATGGTGGAGATGGGCTTGGCTGCTTGCTGGTACCAGGTCGCAATCCTCAGGGTTGCTCTGCCAAGGGATAGACAAGAACAGGAGGGCTCCAATGAGGAGACAGTAGTCAGATCCCGGCAGAGTTCAAGGCAGGAGACTAGCAGAGGAGAGGTCAGACGCGCCCAGTTCAGCAACGGGTAATCAGAGGATAAAAGCAGGAGACGAGAGCAAAGTCGGGTCCAGGCAGAAGATCAGGGCGGGCAGGAAGCGAAGAAGGGTCAGGCGGTCCGGGTCAGCAACGAGAAAACAGCCGAAGTATGAGCTCTTCAGACAAACAGGAAGCTGACACGGCACCAGCTCCTTGCAGAGCTTAAATACCCCTCTAAGTCAGAGACGACACTCCCAGCCTCAGGGTACGCTGGAAGTCCTGGTCTGGAGTCTTTTACTATTATTAGCCATACAGGCCTGGACTCTGTGAGATCCATTAGTAGCGGATCTTCTGTAAATCCTGGCTGGGATTCTCAGAGGAGAACGGTAAACCCTGACAGGTACTCTGAGCTCACCATAACAGCTCAACTCCAGTCATACCTGTTTATTTCATCTTATATAGAGCGGGAAAGGTTAGAGCCTCTGTCAAGTTTTTTTTGTCCTGCTGGGGAGATCTACCCTTACTTCCTCTAAGAACAGGAAGTGATGGCAATTCACTCAGACCGCAACACAGACCACACATAAAACATTTTGGCTGAAATCGTGTATGAAGGTACCACTAACAATAGCCGGCACTGTATTCAGATTATTAAAGGACTCCCAACCTTCCAGTAGTGGTGGAGACAGTCTACCCATGAACACTGCCCCCATCGCTGTATCAGTTCTGATCAGTCCCTGACACCGCACATCTCACAGACCTGAGCCCATGCTTTGTTCCTCTCATAGGTGACATTATATACGGAGGACACGTGGTAGATGAAGGGGATGCACACAGCGTCATGGTGGTTGCTCAGCAATGTCTACAGGACCATCCAAATCACCGGCTCAGCCGCGGACTCTCCAGCTTCTTGTCCACAGTGGTGGCCGGCAGGGTGTCAGGTAAGGGGATGAACCCCGGGGAGAGGGTGGTGGTTGAAGTTGGTCTTGGATAGAGATAGTCCCCCCACATGGGGAACACAATCAGTCCTCAAAGTAAATTGTCCTTTAACCTTGAACAAAGATGTTTCCTTCCTGAGAATGTGGGGAACCTTCACACTTCACCAATCGGATTTCCTGTTTGGCAAACAGGAAATCCAATTTCCTCCATATACAGCAGGAAGGCCGGTGTGAAGGTTTTCCACATTCTCTCTGAAAGGAGAACCTCTATAAAATGTGGGTGATTAAATAATAAAAATCCGCACTGGTCCCTTCCATCTGTATCTGATGACCTCACTCTGGTGTTTCAGGTCCTGGTGTTTACAGCATCCAGAGGTTCTTGCAGAACTTGTGCCGTCAGCAGGACACAACTGCTCTAGGACTGAGTGAGGGGTTGCACAGCATAGCCATGGAGGTCTACGGACGCAAAGTGCTACCCAACCTGCTGATTACTCAAGATGTCTGGACCAGCAAAATGAATACACGAGACAGCCAGACTGATGGACGGCAGACACAAGACCCGGCTGGATCTGAGATTGCATTCAGAAGTAGTTCTTCAGCTTCTTCGTGCAGTCCACAGTTAGAAATGATTTGGGAGAATCCTTTAAGCCAATGTCTGTCACAGCTGATGGATCTGAAAGGTATTCAGGAGGCTCGGCAGGGGGAGATAGACCGTCTGGAGGACCAACACAGCTTAGAAGAAGCCGAATGTGGTAATATTCATCACAGAGAGAACAAGCTGGAAGAAGAGAACCCAACCGCTGGGCCAAAGGTGGAGACGCACGCCAGGAGGCCATCGCCCTTACTCAGCTTTTTGCGGGAAGAGTGGAATCTGCTGAGTGGACTCGTCCATCAGGTCATCCGAGAGTTAAAGGACGCAGACTCGCCTTGCTGCTGTTTGCGATGTCAGAAGATCAGGGCAGTGATCTCTGAGGGCCGAGTACCAACATGGTGGAACGTCTACTCCTCTACCCCTCCCACAGTCACTCCTCTGGTTTGGGTCTCCGGCCTAAGAACCCGTATGAAGCTTCTGTCCAGCTATGTCTGTGAACCATCACCGCTTCGTGGGACCTACAACCTGAGCGCCTTCCGCCATCCAGCTCAGATTCTGCAACGCGTCCTGATGGAACAAGCTCTGAGAGATCATCAAGAACTAGACACATACTCTCTACAAATTCAGGTACAGGTCCAGGGGGTGATGTGTCTGAACACAGGATGGGGGTCTATAATGTGCAGACAGTGGACAGAATATGTATGATGTGGGCGGGGTTTAGATTTATAGGTGAAGATACACTACATGGCCAGGATACCTACAGATCACACATATGAGCTTGTCGGACATCATCCCATTTCAAAACCATGACCATTAATATGGAGTTGTCCCCTACCTCCTCCCTTGTGGCTACAACAGCCTCCATTGTTCTGTCAGTGAAATCACACAGCAGCATTACCAACCTGTGGACACCGAGTACTGAGTACCGGTGCCTTGTGCCCCAATTATCAGGGAGTAGGGCGGCGGATCATGAACCGTCACCTGGCTTCTTGATTGCCTGTGAAGCCGATGTTCTAGGCGAAAGAACACCGGCTTCAGAGGCTGCCTGGCTTAATGGCCAATCAGGAAGCCGGCTGGTGAGTCATGAGGTTCTGTCCGGCTTCCTGATTGGTCAGGAAGCCAGGCTGCTTAGCAAAATGTACAGCCAGCTTTCTAGCCAATCAGGAAGTCGGGCGGTGGGTCATAACCCACCGCCTGGCTTCCTGTCTGGAAAGGAACATGGCTCCATGTTCCCTCGGCACTTGATATCTCCCTCTGACCGGAAGTTCCGGTATCGGAGGTAAGTATCGGAGCATTTGGGCGACTAAGAACTCGCCCAAATACTTTGTATTGGCACCAATACTGGTATCGGTATCGGTGCAGGTCTGTTAGTCTTAGATGGATTTCAAGTACAAGAAACATAAAAACTCAGATATAAACCATGTAAATGAACGGTGGCCATTGTATGCACCCCAATCAGAGCTAAATGGTTTATCTGAACCCCTATAACTTCTATCTCAGCTGGACAGCTTGGCCTGTTATAGGAAGTGGAAGCTGATTTTGTAGGAGGATCAACTGGTAATAAAACGAATTTACTGGGGGGGGGGAACTCTGAATAACTCCTGGGACAGACTGACTTTATGGCCACTAGATGGAGCTGAGGAGCATAAGACATAATAAGTTCTTTCCGAAGCACCACAGCTCCACCTAGTGGCCATAATGTGCTATTACATGACAATACATTTGAACACAAGATATTGTGACAAGTCCTTGTTATACCTGAATTTACCTCCGCGCTCTCTCTCGGCAGGTGTCACACAGAAGAGCGCCTCCAGTGGACGGTGTACGCATTGCACTGTGCGGGATCTATCTGAAGCATGCCCTATGGGACACCAGGCTGTGTACATTGCAGGAGACCCTGTCCCCAAAGCTGTGCGCTCTGCCGGACCTACACCTCACGGCCGTGCAGGGGAACGACAGAGCCGCGTGCCCGGAAAATATATCGCGCTGTTATTTGTGCCCTGTGTACTCACATCAGGCCCCCGAGGGCCACGGTCAGCATCAACAGCAGCCATTACTCTTTATACCTCTCCCTAGCAATATGGTTCCAGCCGTGTGGAGCCTGCGCAGGGTCCACGGCCTCAGCCTGCTGCTGTGACATCACCGAGACCGCTCAGGAGCCAGGCCAGGAAATTCTCATTGTTTGCACATGACAGATGGTGGCCCTCTGACTACTATTAGGGCCACACACCTGTAGAGATTTCCCGTCCAATATCGTTCACACTTTGTTTTTTGTTCCTCAGTAAACTGATTTCTGTAGAGATCTTTGTGAAGTGACTTTTCCCGAGTCTGATGGGGAGAGAACGCTCAGACACGGGAACAAAAATGTCTTCACAGCCACCTCCCATCTATAAAGCTGACCCTACACATTACAATCTCTGCGCCACTTGCCCCATTGCAGGCGGACTCCAAGCAGAGACCGGCCTCCCGGATCCACCTCCTCCATCTCACGTCATGTGACGCTCGAGCCGCACACCGATGTCTGTCTTCTATCACAATATACTTTATTGACACCAGGCCAGCAAACAAAAGAACAACGCAGGTCGCTCAGACATATCCTTCACCCGTCTGATGTGGTTCTGCTCTTGGCGCATTTCACCCACAACAGGGGCAGTCATGGGGGGGGGAAAGGCGTCAGGGGTGAAGGATGTGTCTGAGTGACCAGGCTTGCCCTTTTGATTGCTGACCTGGTGTTTATAAAGTATATTGTGATTGAAGATGAAGACAGAGTTGTGCCGCTTCAACTTTCTGAGGAGCCGCATTGCAGCCAGGCGTCTAGAATTTTCAGATGGGGTCAGCACTGGCAGCGTCTATTCATAAGCGATGATGGCACCTTATGTAGGCCGGTGTAAACTGGAGCTGTGGCGGGATCTGCAAAGAGTGTGGTCTGCCCTCTGCAATGTATACAATCTCCAGATACCCCACCCCAGTACACAGAGACGTACAAAATAACGTTTATTCATTCAGTTTAAGTCTTCTGGGTGTCCCCGCCAATAACTTACAGTTTCCTGAGGGTAGAAGCCTTTGCCCCCATGTCCCAATGGTCCCAGCCAATGGGCTCCACTGTCCCAGCCAATCACCTGCAGTGTCCCGGAGGTCCCAGCCAATCACCTGCAGTGTCCCTGAGGTCCCAGCCAATCACCTGCAGTGTCCCGGAGGTCCCAGCCAATCACCTGCAATGTCCCGGAGGTCCCAGCCAATCACCTGCAGTGTGCCGGAGGTCCCAGCCAATCACCTGCAGTGTCCCGGAGGTCCCAGCCAATCACCTGCAATGTCCCGGAGGTCCCAGCCAATCACCTGCAGTGTGCCGGAGGTCCCAGCCAATCACCTGCAGTGTGCCGGAGGTCCCAGCCAATCACCTGCAGTGTCCCAGCATAAAACACTATGGAATATATTGACAGTTTAAAGAACTAAGTATTTTTAATGTAAACTGATACACATTGGGGTCTATTGATAAGCAGCTCGAAGGGCCCTTCAAATATCTGTGAATGTTAATTTTGTACAAAAAATGCCAAAAAACGTCCTTAGTCAATTTTTTCCAGATACAATGTATTGTCATGTAATACTCTATTATGGCCACTAGATGGAGCGGAGAAGCATCTCACCTCATTATACTATTACCTGTGCTCCCTCTAGTGGCCATAATAATAACGTATTCCTTATGCTCCTTAGCTCCCTTATAATAATAACTTATTCCTTATCCTCCTTAGCTCCATCTAGTGGCCATAATAATAACGTATTCCTTATGCTCCTTAGCTCCCTCTAGTGGCCATAATAATAACGTATTCCTTATGCTCCTTAGCTCCATCTAGTGGCCATAATAATAACGTATTCCTTATGCTCCTTAGCTCCATCTAGTGGCCATACATATTTAATGTGCTCCTCCGCTCCCTCTGGTGGCCATAACGCAGTATTACACACAATACGTTTGAACTGAAAATAAAATCTATAAAGAATGTTCATTTTTGCCATTTATTTAATGAAACGAAAGCTGAGCTCTATTAAAAATTATATTAAAATTAATTTTGGTTACAGTGTTGTTGCATGATGGAGTAATTGGCAGTCAAACTTTCTTAGCGCTGAAAACTGAAAATGTCCAGGTAATGAAGGAGGGGGGGGTGGGGTGTGTAACATGGCGGTACTGAAGAGCTGGATTCGAGGTTGAAGTCAGAGAAGATGGAGGACGGCATTATTTATATTCGAGAATTCAGCATTTTCAAATTGTATTCATATTTTGTATATTATTTAAATTGTATTTTTCTTATTAAAATGTCCCAAAAAAGTTTCAAAAATGAAATACATTCTGCATGTCACATGACCGGTCCTGAACAATTCTGAAAAAAGGGAAGTAATAAAAAAACATAAATTAGCCCTCTGGGGGAGGGGGAAGTGGGAGGAGCAATGTGAGTACCACTCTCCAAAATATTTATTCAGCAATCCTAAATAAAAAGAATACACAACATATAAATCTTTAGCAATGTGTGAAACACGGATCACGGGGCAGAAAACACGCTCGCTGTGCCCCTCACACCGTCCTCCTACCCACAAGTCTCATCATATGTAATGGGATCCTTCACATGCTGGTCTGGACACCGCTCACCTTGAAGAAGAACTTCACGGACATGGGCAGTGACTACAGAGACATCAGCAATTGTACAATATAACATACAGAGTGCAGGGGTCAGGACAGAGTGCAGGGGTCAGGACGGAATAACTCACAGAGTGCAGGGGTCAGGACAGAGTGCAGGCGTCAGGACGGAATAACTCACAGAGTGCAGGGGTCAGGACAGAGTGCAGGGGTCAGGACGGAATAACTCACAGAGTGCAGGGGTCAGGACAGAATAACACAGATAGTGCTTGGGTCAGGACGGAATAACACAGAATGCAGGGGTCAGGACGGAATAACAGAGTGCAGGGGTCAGGACAGAGGGCAGGGGTCAGGACGGAATAACACAGAGTGCAGGGGTCAGGATGGAATAACACAGAGTGCAGGGGTCAGGACGGAATAACAGAGTGCAGGGGTCAGAACGGAAAATAACACAGAGTGCAGGGGTCAGGACAGTATAATGTATAGAGTGCAGGGGTCAGTTCTGCAGCCCCCCTATGTGATAGCTCTGAGGATGTGACAGGTCCTCCTTATGGCGTCATCAGGGATCTAAGTAAAGCAATGTCACCGTTCTGGCTTCAACTTCCTTATTTTTGTATCTTGTTTTATGACCTTCGGAGGAGAGCCAGTTGTAGTGGATTCTACCTCGCTGCTCACTATGTATGAGCTGTATGTACCTCGCTGCTCACTATGTATGAGCTGTATGTACCTCGCTGCTCACTATGTATGAGCTGTATGTACCTCGCTGCTCACTATGTATGGGCTGTATGTACCTCGCTGCTCACTATGTATGGGCTGTATGTACCTCGCTGCTCACTATGTATG